GCTAAGCAGCTTGGCCATTTAAAATACATAAACAGATGTATTGTACCCTTGTAAATAAAAACAAATCTGAAGTTTTGAAGATAATTTAGGGTTAAACACCAGGCGTTTAGCACAATCTATTGTTTGATATTGTGTTTGGTATATTATATTTATATAGATAAATAAAAAAAAATACTATCGTTATACCTACCTAATTGTAAAAATTAATTCGATTTCACTGCAGATTTGCATTAGCCTTATTAAAATTACCCTTTAAAAGGTTGGCACATATTTCCTTATTCTCATAATTGCAATATACAGTGTTCAGTGTATAGGTACTTGCTAATTTATGTTGGTGGTAGGGTGTAATGTTGAAATACTGTATTTGCACGTTACACCCACTTAACTCATTTTCTGCGGGTGCCACAGCTGTTACTATTGTATTACGTTATAAATATTATTATCATATATTTTATAATATACCTACTAGTAGCCTAATAAAACACTAGGTACCTAATCTGACTTTTATTCAAATAAATGTTTAGTTCGAATTGTTCGCTATACGTTGTAGGTAGTAGGTGCCTATCTATAGCAATTCAGCTATTTAATGATGTAAATACATACAATTATGTCTATATAGCTGATTGTGAATCGGTGTAAATTTACGAATGTGGTTGCAAATTGAATTAACTAGGTGGGTAATACTTTAAAATTAAATTAAAAGGGGACCTATGACACGATACTAATTCGTTAATACACAAAAAATGAAAGAGCTACATATATGAGTGGGTGGGTGTTGCAGGGTGGTTGAGTGAAAATGTATGTCTCGGTGTAAAATGGTTTGCGTCACCACAGATTACAATACGTAGAACGGAGGTATACTGACAAATTGACATAATGACATATCGTTAGATATATAAAAATCCATCCTGCTACGTATAACAATATATTGTGAGTATTCGTGGCAATAAGTTTAAAAAATAAAATTAAAATTGCAAAAATATTAATAATAATATTCGATAAAGTGTAGAAACAAAACAGTTTTTTGTCTTTATCATACCTATGTCATCTAAGTGTATGAAAATTAATCATATTATTATTACAACCTTTTCAAATATTTACAATTTAAATTTTTAGAATAATAATTATAATTTATAGCATACCATAGTAGCTATATAGTATATGTATATTGCATACATTAGCTATTAATTATTATGAATGATTTTAAAATCAAAGTTAAATGAACAATCTCTATTAAGTACAACATGCAACATATAGGTATACATCTATATAAATACTAAATACATACCAATTATTATTTATTCAAAACCTATCGCTATAACTATGATCTAAGAAGTAAATCACGTCATGGTTATTAGATTAGGGGCGGACTGTACCACTGTGCAATTGCATAGTGGGCCGGTGTAATCTAATGTACCCGGGGCTGGTACGAAATAATGCACCCGGTATAATATTATTATTGTTAGCGATTTTTTTAGAACCTTTTCTATTTTATTAGAATACCTTGGTAATAAAACAACATGATCCAATCAGCTCAACTGAACCTTAAATGCTTATAAGTTCTAACGAAATAGGGTCCGTACTTTAATGCAAAATATATTAATTTTTGGGAAGTTCCCGGCAATGCTTTTCAAGTACAAAATCCCTTTCATACTAGTACATCAAAGAATTTAAAACTATTTAACTTTTATTTTGCATTATTAACAGTTTTGGTGTTTTTTGAGCAATGATTATTACAATTTTCAAGTATTTTTTGATAATTCTTAATGCACATTTATACATGATTTAGGTACATTTTTATATTTTAGATTAAATTTAAATGGTAACTTTAAAAATTTTGCTGCGACCATTCGTCATATTTTGATGGTACTATTTTATAAACTAATCAGTAACAACTAATTGGTTAGTCGGTGTTGGTCGGCGTAATCGTGTTTATATCGTCAAGTTCATATTTTTGTTTATACTCAAGAATTGTTAAAACTGCAATTTTTGGTCATTTTTAAGAATATTATTGCGGTCAAAATACATATTTAGCGCATTATACTCTAGCAGATATCATCTATGATTTATGATTTAAAGTACAATATAAATAACAAACAATTAATATTGCCTCAAATAAATTTTAATTTTAAAAACATTTATTATCTGCTTATTAATTTATTATGGTAATTGTTGAATAACCAAAATTCAAAAGTAAAGTACAAAAAGTCTAAAAGTGTAAGTTGTAATAGTATGGGGCTGGTTTTTTTCAATAATAGTGGGCCGAATGGGTCGCAGTCCGCCCCTGCATCAGATGTTCATCTACAGACTATGATATACACTATACAGCTAATACAAGTATGAAATATGACATTTATTATAATTAGTAAATTGTGTTGTTGTTGTTATAGTTTTTGCTAGAAAATATTTTCTGCTTAAAAAAGTGGTATCGTATTAGTTTATCAGTGGTGATTTATTATAAGTAGTAATTTTTTATTTCTTTTTTATATCCTATAACCCTATATTATATTGTTCAGAAATGGTTTGCTTTAAGTGTTAACACTTTTGTGTATTTATCCTATATACAGCGCTATCTATAGACGGAGAAATGTGAATTGAACTCAGAATTTTAAAAAGACGTTTCTTGTAACTGAAAACTGATCACTAGTTTTCCATACAATTTTCACTATTTACTGCACACTAGTTATACCAAAATGTTGATTAATTCGTCACAATTCTAAATTAATTACCTACTGACAACAAAGTATAATAATGCGTTACCTATAGGGCTATATACAGGGGTGGTCAAACCACGGCACTCGTCTTAACATTTTTTCTAAAATTAAAAATCATAATAAGTATTATTCATTTCCTGTTATTTATATTATTTTTCATTATACTCTCGACTCTATCTAATCCCTGGCCACCCTTGCCATACAATATAAACTATATAAAACAGACGAAATTCCCTAGAGAAAAAACAATAGGCAATGCACCACGCCACCACAGGTCCACAGCTTTTCTCAATGTCACACAGGCACATGGCATATGCTGTAGACTCCTTTTTCAAATATAAACCAAATTCCACATCAGTGGTTATCGATATTCGTCGTCCGATATTTCTCCTGACTATTTCAAACTGTATATATATATTCCACAATACGAGCGGACTGCGGAGGTCCCAAGAGCGTAATTACAGCATCACTCCTGTTCGACATTTTTACAGCTGATCAACCCACTTCTCCTTAGTGACCTTTGTCTCTGAATACGCTAACGGTATATGCTAATAATTCTCTCAGTCCATGAAAATCCAATCTAATCATCTCCAATCTCGTCTTTCTCATAATATATTCAAACCAGCCTGTGTCAAAACTGGATAGTAAAAATCAACGAAAGCAAATCCTGGTGACACATCACAATCGCTTTCAAACACGATATTTGTCCTCGAATTTCATCTAACACCATCTTGATTTCGACCTCCCTTACTACAAAATACTTCAGTATCCACTTCGATAAAAAAAAAAAATGTAACTATGCACACCATATGCAGGACCGACTAGTGGCGTATTTGAAGGGGGAATTCCCTCCCCCCCCCCCGAGATTTGTTTTTTTTTACTGTTTTGGGGAAACTGTATTTATAAGTTAAATTCCATTATGAACTATTAGTATTATGACTAGTACAAGTTTGAAGCAGTGTCTAAAGCCCTAACTAAATGAAAAAAAAATAAGCTATCGTATTAAAATGTCCTTATATTTTAACAGCTGAGATATTTTCGTATTGTGCCCCCCCCCCCCCCCCGAAAAATTATCTCAAATACGCCACTGACGGGGGTGCACCACCTGATGTTATGTAGCCGGTGCAAAGATATGCTTTTGCACCTGCAGCCACTGAACTTTATACCTATTCAATAAACTATCTATATTCCATTGGTTTGTCGAATTTTTTATAAGCTTATTTGAAAAATTTGATGTCACTAATTCATTTCATATAAATACTATATTTTTACATGTATAATGTACTATACACTGACACACAACATATAGTGTTTAAACTATAGTGATTTTGATGTTTATTTATGTTATATTGTAATCGAATATAAAAAAATACCTATAGTACTCGAGCGAAGCGATTAGCTTTAGGGTATGACTTAATTTGTCTTTACGATTATTGGACCGATAAAAGTTTTGCACCAGTTGAAATTTAATGGAATTACGCCAATGGGACCGTCTCAGTGCGGTATGAAAATCAGCAACCACCCAGAGTTTGCAAATTTCATATACCACCTCCTCCCAAAAAAAATAACTATATTGAATAAGGGCAGTGTAAATTATACGAACCTAGGGTGGCAAAAAACCTAAGGCCAGCCCTGACCACATTTCCATCACACATACATCACCAAACTTAAGCTAAATTCATATTCTTAAATATTTTCTAAGTTCGGAACTAGATATTTCACTCCACATTATCTTGTAGAAAAACACTACTATAATAAAAATTGTGTGTATACTGCGTAAGACATCATAAGCAAATTACAAATAACTCACATCAACATTTTTCCTTTAAAAAGTTCGCGCTGCCACTGCAGCACACCTTACTTCGTTTACCTTACTGTCCTTACTCATTTTACGAGTACCTATGTTTCGAGCGAAAAAACATTTGAAAATGTCAAGGGCGCGGATGTCTATGGAAGAAAGAATCAAAGTAAACCACAGACGGCGATTGAACAATATAGGTCATTGGCACAAATATATTTTTGAGATAGTAAACGTTGGAAATTTGAAACAATAATGGTATGAATAATTCTCGAAAAAATCAATGCACTTTTTGGATATTGATTCAAATTTCAATTCGTACAAATTGACTTTGGAACAAATTTGTTGTGGAACAAAACGTAGCGATCCGGTCCAACCCACCGACACCGCCGCACCTATCGCCCATAACAATTGACCGTATGGTCTGCCGTCGGTGGCGTTATCACGGTCGGCGGCGATGGTGCCGTGGAGGTGGTACGCGCTTATCAGGTCGGCCGTCAGTCGCCGTCGTCTTGTAAACAACGCGAGCTCGTACGAACGAACGATCGCAAATGAACGGGAAAACTGAATAAAACGAGCGATGCGCATTGCCCCGCGCTACTGGCGACCACTGACGACCACCACATCACGTCCGCGGGCGACAACTACGACGACAGCGATTTGTTGTTGACCACGTCCGCGACGGTGGCGGTCAATGTCAATGTGACCGGCGGCGGCGGTGGCAGCTGCGGTGTTGACGACGGCGGCGTCGACATGGAGCCCACCAAAGTGTGCCGGCTGTGCCTGACCGCGGTCGACTGGCCCGTCAGCATTTTCGACGAACTCTCCGACAAGATAGCCGAATCCATGCGGATCCACATATCCCGGACCGACCAGCTGCCCAAACACGTGTGCGTCAAGTGCAAAGACACCGTCAACGATTACTACGCGTACTACACCAACGTGGTCGAGTGCCAGAAACAGCTCCTCGAACAGCTGGCCGACGTCCAGCACAACATGGTAAGCGGACCAACGCTCGTCGGTGGCGCCTTGCAGTCACCACACCTTAGTGGTCTTGTAGATTTCCACCACGATCTCGTCAACAACTCCAACAATTGCTTGGGCCTGGAGTGCTTATTCTGTTTTCCACTGCACTCTCGTCTAGGGTTTGGTATTCGTGATCTTTTTTCCCCTTATTGTTATACCCGAAAAGGTGAACGAGCAGTTGTTTAGGCCTCAGTTGAATCGTTTATCCACAACTTTCGATGTGCCTAATATTTATTGAGAGTAGTTTTTTTTTAAAGGTGTGTCCGTTATCTAACAACAGTCTCGAAAGAATAGATAAATTTATTTCATGAAAACAATTACATTATGCTATTAGAAACAATTTTCTCGCATCAGTTTATTTACCGGAAAGGTTAATTAGGTAGAATTAGGTTAACGTGTTTTTGAAAGTCATCGAAAAAATATTATGTTCATTATCAGTCTAATTATAAAGTTTTTACTATTATAATCTATCCCTAATTAATAGTTCTAATTACCTCCTGGCTCCTATTAGTCATTTTATTAAGTATCTAATCAACAATTATTAAATACTTAAATAACTATTGCGTAAATCAATTATCTAGCCTACTTATCTTACATATCGGTGTAGTATCAGTTTGTTATGTATGTCTTTTAATTTGTCAGGTGTGAACTATAAATTCAAATAATTACAGAACAAACATTTTTTTTAGAAAAAAAATTGTTCATAAAACACCATCTACCTCAATAGAAATTATTTGATGTTCTAATGTGAAGTAAATAATGTAGTAAATCTCATACAGATATTTAAATAAATACACTTAAATTACAAATTAGGTATTTAACGTGAACATTTGATTGATTCATTAAAAATGTGTTTAATCAACAGGCTTCCAGTAGTTTTGAACCAGTGGTTACCATTAATTATGACCAAAATACAGAATACAAATCTGAATACAACGAACCAGAGAGTTGGTCTGAAAGTAATCAATCGGAAATTGAAATGAAAGACACTGTGAAAATAGATGCGTAAGTTCATATAATAATAATGTGCTGCTTTCTAAAATTATATATCAGAGCTTCAAGTATTTAATTTATTTATTATGACTTATCACTTAATGATACTTATAAATCTGAATATAATAGAAGTTGCCTGTTTGATTTTATGCTATCTAATTAAATATGTGCATTCTTAATAATAAACATATATGCCTCTATCACTTGTCATTAATTTACATTTTTATTGCTTTATTATGTTTTACACAGCACTGATGAAATTGACGACCAAAGTTCAGATAGAGCTAAGACACCTCGTAAGGTTAAAATAAAATTTTTCAAATGCAGAAAATGTGAAGAATCTTTTAGTACTAAACACGCATTAAAAGACCATCAAAATGATGCACATCCGCACTCTGCATATAAGTGTAATTGCTGTGATAAGACATTTGACACAATGTGTGCGCGGCAAAAACACAAAAAAGAAGAACATCCTAGTGTCACTTATTCGTGTGACACGTGTGACTATCGTACACCCTATAAGAGTCGAATGCAATATCATGAAAATAGACATAAAAAAGTGTACAGTGTGTTCTGTGATACTTGCCACGCAGGCTTTTTTAACAAAGATGAGTTGGCTACCCATGAAATTAAAAACCACGGTGCTGAGCCATACCAATGTGATCGTTGTAGCAAATTATGCACGTCAAAGACCAATTTGTACAGCCATATGAAAGTACATACCACGTCAGCCGAGTCAGTTAGCTACCAATGCGAGACCTGTGGAAAAGCATTCAGGCGTATAGGCAGTTACAGGCGACACATTCAGTCACATTTAGGTCTGAAATACGAATGCTCTTATTGCAATAAGCTGCTGAGTTCAGCACACCATCTAAAACTACATGTGCGTATTCATACTGGTGAGAAAAATCACGTGTGCGAAATGTGTGGCAAAGCATTCACAGTTAGCAAGTACCTAGTCGAACATAAAAGAATACATACAGGTGAGCGACCATTCAAATGCGACTTGTGCTCAAAAGGTTTTACTCAAAAGACGTCTTTACGCATACATACCAGGTGGCATACAGGAGACCGGCCATATAAATGTGACGTATGCGATGATAGATTTGTAATCAACACATTTTTACAGAGGCACATTAAAAAACACCATCCTGACCTTGTAGAACCCGTGCAAGATCCGTGCGCTAACTCCCTTCAAACTTTATGAAATGTTATTTAAATATGGATATTATTTCACTTTTTTTTAAGAAATTAATTTCTCTATTGTTAATACATTTATAATTATTGTAATACACTACTTTGATAGTTTTACTTTAAATAAATTACATAAAAACAAAAAAAAAATGTAAAATTAAATCATTTTAGTCTTGTAAACATTTTTATACTTCAGCAATGTGTATAAAACATTTTTTTTGTTTGTGTAAAAGAGCATATATTATTTAGTTACCACTAGAGAAATAACCACTTAGATTTCATCTTTCATTTGTTAAAATTAAACCCAACACAAATAGACAAATAAACAAATTTATGCAATGAGAATCCATTATACATTTTGTATGATTTATATCAAATGACTTATTTTGAAATAGATATTATACCTAAACTCATGAATGTTATTTCTACAATATCAACTTCCTATTAAAACATAGAATTATTCATTTTCAAATCATAAACAATTGAAACATTTTTAACATGTATTAAAAATATGAATTTAGATAAAGTTTATCTTAATTTATAGTTCTATGTGTTAGTATCAATATTTTGATATACTAACGCATTATCATCTATCCTATGAGACCTTTGTCTACTAAACAGGCCCTCTTCATATTTTTGCCGTGTCAAGATAGGTGGAGCTTTTTAGTTCCTCCGATGTAGTACAAAATATATACATACATTGTCACATTGATACTATAGATTTATACAAAACAAGCTGCTTCACTGTGCAGTGTAGGCACGCAAACACGTATTAGGTATAGGATGTGCTGGTCTATGATCCTAAGATAATCAATGTTACATATTATAAAATGCAATGGCCAATCCAAAAGCACGGATCTTTCCAAAAGTTATATTTTAGAAACATAACTTTTAAGTTATTCAAAGTAGCTTAAAAACTAATTCAATTTTTACATACATTATATGTACATTCCAACTGTTATCAATAATATAACAAAATAATAATACTGTTTTTATAGTAAAAATGAATTCATACAAAATAACACATAGTTTACTCCATTTAAAATTTACATTATAGTATTTTAGTAAGGAATTTTTCTCACAAAGGTACTAAAAAAATAATAAAGAATTACTAGAAAAAAATAATAATAATATAAGTAACATCAACAGTAATGAGAATTAAGGACAAGACTTTCAAGATTAAATTTGGCTAGTCCTTTACCATAAAAAAACATTCTTTTGTTTAGTTTCATAAACATAAGAAAAATCATAAGATAGCAATTATTTTTTTTACTGATTCTTATTTTATTATTTAAAAATAACTTCACAGTCCTGAGGAATCAGCATCGTCATCAGGTAATCCTGCAATAAGAATATAATAAAACATATTTATATTTATATCATTATCTTGAAAAATCAGAATACATTATTCTAGATTCCAAAAATAAAACTGATATTGACAAGCGTACTACATACCTTGTTTCTTGTAGAACAAAATATACGCATTACAATAATCTTCATGTCCTGGTTTTGTTTTAATGGCTGTTTCATCATTGTAATAGTGCCAATCTTCTGATTCCACGTGTTTAGTATAAGATGTATAGTGACCCATAGAAGTACCTAACACAGCAGGAATAAATTAATAGATATTGATGATTGATATAAGAAATTAATACAACATACTTCCAGTATGACAAACGCAAGCATACAAATCATATACAATATCTTGTTGTAAATCCAACACCAATCCATCTAAAGGAAATATTACACTGTCTTGTAGTTTTATCCCCCAATTTTCATGGAAAACAAATCTAAAATAATAAATAAGTATCTATAAAATGTATTTTTTAAGTACTGTAAAATAATTTTTTTTACCTTTTTAAGTATACAATGAGACATCTAGGATACTTGGAAATGGATAATGTTTTAGTGGCGCGTTGATTCTTTTTGCAGAATGGACACCACCAAGGATTATTATCATCTAAAAGTTCACTGTAAAACAAGACCATTTTTTCATCAGTTTTTAGAACCTATAGAATATAATGTACATCAGAGGTGGTCAAACTTTTTATTATTTGAAGTATAAAAATACATACATTTTTTAGGGGACTACAAAATAAATAATTACATTTTAAAAAAAGAGGGATCAAATGAAATCATCTGCAGTCGACTGTTTGACCGCCCCTGATAAATATACTGAAAAGTATAGGCATAAACATGTTTTTTCCAACACAATTCATAAATCATATAATATCATGAAATATTATACTTTTTAAACAGTTATAATTAGTTAATACTCAATAAATAAAGTAACTAAACTCAAACTCTCGCCAAAATAACAGTGTTTGAAAACTAGATTAAAACTAAATTCAATGCTAAATAAATTCCTAAATTTTCTATAAAAAAATATAATACAATTGTTACCTTTGGCAAAAAGCATTAATGCAATCATAAATTGTAAGAGGTTTATTAGATCGCATTTGTTCGGTAGATCCTGGATGCAATTTAGTGTCAAGCAAATAAACATCTACATAATCTTCAAAGGTAACAGCTAGTGTATCACCACTACGAAACTTGATTATTCCACTTTTGGGAAGATTACAGCCACTACAATGTTCGTCCCACATGCATCTAGAGCACATGGTCCCTTGACCATCAACTAAAGATAGTGAAAAATCTTCAGAGTATGGATGAAGTTTGGCCAATTCAACATAAAGTACTTCAGCAGGAACTTCACTTGGTAAACGAACCAATGCTGGCCGACCAATTAAACTTTTTACATTAGCTTGTGTAAACACGATTGGAATAGTCAATCGTCGTACAGCTTGATTTGTACTACCAGCAGGTTGTTCAATTGGAATTAAATCAACCTTAGGATCTATTCTTACTCTACAAACAGGACAATCCATTTGATCTGTATCTCCGCCAGAATGAAAACAACTTGATTTAATGCATTCATCACACAATACACATGTGCAATCTTTAATATCTTTATGGAGTACCATATCAGGTTTATATTCTAAGCATATGGTACAAACATCTCCTTGTTCAATTATTGCAGAGTCTATATCCATTGGTTCCTAGAATAACATACATCTTTTTAAGAGATACAGTACACAATATAATTGATTAGTTTAATTTATTGAATGTAAACATTTTTAATTGATCATTTAAAAACAAGGTATTTTGTTATTTAATTATTTTGAATTAAAGATGTTGAAAACGGGTCTTTTTGGTGCATTTAGATTAATAAGCGGAAAAAAAACTAACTTCCAGAAGTCCGATTTATTTTTATTTTGAAAAATATTTGAATTTGTTAGTTTCTTGACTGTTTTGTAGGGAATTAAATGTTTTTTCTAGTAACACTAAAGTAAAAGTGAATATTGAAAAAAAAATTAATTTGGTACTATACTTCTATAATACAGCAATCGAAAATCCATTTTCTACATTATCTATAGAGTTAATGAGAAATTCAAATGTTTTCAAAATTAAAATAAAACTTTTGTTACAGGGTGAACTTTTCTTGAACATTTTAGGACTTTCATTTGAAACTTTTATCATTACAAAATATAGTAATGTGTGACTGCGCGCAAGTGCGTTACGTATTTCCAAGAATGTTAGGCATTGTGTATCTTTAATTACATTACTCATAAAGCATTAGGGGAGCTCACACACACTAATGATCAGTCACAACGGACATAAAATATTGCCTTAATCCAACCCCTTAAAGATGATTGCTTTCAAAAGCCCTAACCAAATTTAAAAGCTCAATTAAATGGATAATAATTGGCAGTATTTTAAGTGTGACTGATTAGGTAGTAAAGGTGGGTTTCAATAACAAATTTACAAAAAAAAAATATTAGGAAATAAGTTGGGGCCAGCAGTTTATTCTTGATTGAATTTAAGGTGAAGTGGCTACAAGTGCATATCATAACAAATTTTACTCTCAGTAGATCAAGTTTGCTCTGTTAGTTGCAAAATTAGAGTGAATTGACCTATAAAATTATTAGCTAAGATTATTATCTAGAGCATCTCATACGCTTTTTATTGAATTATAATATAGAGTTAATTTTAAAGCGAGTTATGAGTATTTTAAAATTTTAAAATACCTATAACTCTCTTTAAATTAAAATATAATAAAAATACTGAGATGCCCTAGCTCTTACCTTTCAATTTTATAAGATGTCAATTCACCATCATTTTTAAACCCACAGAGCTAAATGTGACCGGCTGAGCATAAAATGTGTTATGTTCCGCACATGTAAGACAGAAACAACAAACATCCACGTAGCGTCCTCTTAATTTGTAAAATTATAGGTAGAGTAAAACAAAATATAATGGTAACCTGTCTGAGAGGAGTAGCTCTTACCTAACCTAACCTTCAGCACTCAAAACAAAGATATTGTTTTGTCTCTTAAAAAACCATAACATGGGTACCTATAAGCTATTTGATACTAATAAATTATTTATACAATAAAATTAACTTACAATTTGTGTGTCTCTTTCAGTTAATTCTTCAATGTCCCCATTTACAAGGTCTAAATTAATTTCCAATACCTCAAATGCATACAAATCACGGTTATTAGAATCAACGCTCCTCACTTGATGATCATCACTCTAATTAAAAAAATTAAATTATTAAATAATTTAAATCATGCACTTACACCACAAATTAAGTATTTTTGATAAGCTTACTAATATTTTAGAAATGTGTCTGTTAAAAACTTCGGCTACAACCAACATATCAGGGTGTTTATCTTCGCCTATCAAATTTACCAACTCGCTTTTAACTTTTTTAATATCATCTTGTTTGTTAACTGTTATCAGGTACTTCATCGGTGGATTATGTGTAGCGCTTACAAATGTAATGTCTAATAAAATTTTTAAAAAAAAACATTAACATTTCATTTAGCACTTTAATACCCATATTTAGCTTACACATTTGTTGTTGAGTAGCATACGGTAAAGGTACAGAGAGATACATGAAAGGTTCATGCATAACAGACACATAATTACATTCAAGACATGTAACCTACAAAAACAATGTTCAGTTACAGGTGGATCATTTTAATTTTTGCTGTATAATATATATAATTTGTTACTTACAGAACTTTCAAATTGTCCTTGAAATATTTTATTGATAATGGACTCTTGTTCTACACGCTTCTCAAGAACAGTAGATCCTATTGAATCGGCTTCTACAAGCTCTGTCTTAGATAATATATTATCATCTAATTTTACACGCTTCAAATCCATAAGTCTCGAATCAGATGAGGAATCACAACATATTTCCCTTTTTCCATTCAACAAATCATTAATTTGTACCTTGGACTTGAGAAGATCTGGTTTGCATGAAGATATGGTACCATCATCAATATTTGGTGATACAAGAACATCAGAGTCTGTATTATTCACATTTTGTGCCATGAAGTCTTGATTCTCGGATAATTCTTCTGTTAAAATGTCACATATTTGAGGTAATTCATATTCAGACGAACTAATAACAAACTCATCAACTTCACGTGGCAATAATTTTCTGGGATTTGGAGACTTACGAGTTTTACGTGATGTTACTTTGCAGTGTTTGGCAAAGTGCATCAATAGTTCATCATTTAGGCTGTCTAATAAAAGTGCCAAGAATTCTTGACAATCATGCTGGCTGCAATCCCGGAACTGTGCATATCGTTTTCCCAAGACATATTTGAACTGATGTGGATTGATAACACTGAACTGTCCATTCCAAACACGTTTAGCAAGATCAGAAAATTGTCCAATCAATGTGTCTTCGGATCCATCATTGTCAAAGCTCAAAAAATATGACACAAGACTCTCTGTTGATAAGAGAGCTTGTAAGCCTGCACTCATAAAACATGTATTACCGAGATTTCGAAGACCACAAACACCAATTTCAGCAGTCGGATCAGATAAATCACCATCAGCAGCAAAAATTGTGCTTAACCCTAACCCTGGTGTTTCAGCTCTTGGAACAGTTTGAATGCTATTGAACTCATCAAAATCACTAGGACCTGGAAGAGCTATGGGAAAACTTGAGTTTGTTGATGTAGGAAAACATGATGTTGAATCTTCGTTCCTAAAAATCAGTATAAAAATACTTAAAACTCATCATTGTCATTAATTAATATTATCCTATAGAAGTCTAATCTTAAGACATTGCACATAAACGCACAGTTCTTAAAAAATTAACCTACATATGATCTTAATTTATGGTCATGTAGGTACTCAAAAATACACTTTAATGACATCTAATAAACTAGTTTATATATAAATTAACATTAAAATCAAAATTGAACGGTTATGAATCTACAGCTAGAAATTATAACTATAATATTATGTCTATTGTTGAAAAGTATATTATTGAATCAACAGGTTCTTGACAACTCACCATGAACTGTCAATCGTCATCATCTGCGACGGTTCGTTGCTTCGCAGATAAGTATCACTGTCTGTGATTTCAGATAGTTCAGGCAGTGTTTTTGGCAGTTCTTTGTCAAGGTTCTCGGCTAGGAAAGCAGAATCACCAAAGCTCTCCTTGTCGTCTGCCCGCAAGTAATCGTACCGGTTACCGTGCAACGAACTCAGTATGGACGTGTCGACTTCCGAGGTTTCCATAAGTCGATCAGTCTGTGTCGGGTTTGGCACGAAAGATGTAATTGAAAAAAAGTTTTTAAAAATCGCGACTATCTTCTATATCTGTTTTTGGAGACACCCGTCTCGGTCCGGAGCAAGTTCAGCTCTCTCGGATTGAAATATTGGATGCGGGTCGGCGGCGTCGTCGTCGTCGTCTGTTTCGTCCCTCAAAATACGATTGAAATTCGATTCGCGTCCGGCTTATTGTCGTGGGGCGGTTTGGCACCCACGGCTGAGCTCTTATGGTCTGCAGGACGACTGACCAACGGACTTCGCGACTAAAAAAATCCGACGTGCGACCTAACAAACAACAGAGACGTTTCGGATGTCAGCAAAAGGCTCACCATTGCCGCCACGAACCAATTAATGCTAAAACGCGGAACGGAACAAGAAATATCACGCGAATTATCTCACCGTGAGCAGTTTGTTTTGTTTGTGATTCTGAATATTATTGTGATTTCTGATTGTTCCGGTACGATTTGCGGAGAATACTGAACACTAAAAAGTGAATAATATCGGTGCTCGGTGATCGGTAGCTTGTTTTTTTTCCTATTTTTTCTTGGTTATGCGGTTTCAGAGCGGCAACACACCGGAACCGGGCATGGTATAGACCATGTTCACGTTATCAATTACAGGTATATAACATAGAGTTGTAATAGACGTCATATGAAGTCTATGGTACATACTATCTAAACGCAATCTAGTGATCATATTAATAATCTACAGAATAGTATTTTAATTTGAAATAAATAGTAATTAATAATGCTTGATTTTCCTGCAAAGAATGTGCACCACAATTATGTTTGTATTTTATATTATTAAAGAAAACCATTTTGTATTATCTAAGCACAAAACACCCCATTTACCTCATCCTATTCATATCCAATTAATAATATTCCATGGACCATAGCCAAATAGAAAATTATGAACAAATGAATACCTACTTAGTACTTACAACTTACCAGTAGCAGGCGTATAGGAGGTAAGTTAATTATGTAAATGTATGGTTGATATTGAATTCAGTGTAGATATTAAATATGTTTCTAAACTCATTTTTCCCAAAAAATGTCCGATAAATGTTGTTACTATTGTAACTACTAACTTGTATTAATTGATCACACGTGTGAAGTCACGAGCAATCGAAAACATCGTTTTTTATTCCCGAAATTGGAAGAAAGTAACTAATATTCTATGATTCTACCTATTTTAATATTATATTGATTTGCGTTATCGAAAATGTTGACAGTAGACAATAATATGTAGACATCGATGATTGATGGACACTGGAACTGTAGAAGTAGAACACTGGTAACAATTGTACGATGTCTTGTTCACTAATGACTAAATACAAGTGTCAACGACTGCTTGTCGTCTCTTCTTTTCTTTTTAAATTTTGTTAGATTTTACGGTTCTTTCTTCAAAATATCAAACAGGTGGTGCACGTTCGATGTATCTTTGTAGTACGAACTCACTTTTCTAAGAAAATATGAAGAAATTGGCCATGTTTTGAACGGCGAGCACCCCTTCCCTGAATTCGAGGTTAGAGCACTGAGCAAGACAGTAGGTTGTATGTATTCCCAAATTTTAATCGATCACGAAGGTCGTTAAAATATTAAGCTAATAAAAAATGATTTGATTTAACCAAAATAATAATAGGTATACCTATATTTATAATTGTATAAACGTATAATATATTAATACACCGACATTTCTAAACATTATCATGTTGGACTGATGGAAATGTTAATCACTACAATGCCATAAAACATTATAAGACCCGTGGGTGTTACAGAAGTCAAACTGGTGCAGTTTATCGGAATTCCTTCCCAAACATAAAAATTGTATTTAAAGATAGATACTATAGTTTATTGCTCTGTCCCTACTCCGGGTTTTTTTTAACCTTTTATAGTTTTATGATATAAGACTTACCTAATTTATTTTACATATATAAAATGTACGACTTAATAACGTCGATAGTCGAATATTATGCTATTATGCTAAAGATAATATTATAATGAATTTTCAGTTTTCACGTTTAGTACAAATAAACGTCCTTTTACCTCTTACGTACCACAAATAACTGAATCATTTCATTTTAAACTCAATGGAATGTTTTATCATGCTTACCCAAAATATTTATAAATTTATTGAAGCTTAAATAGTGTAATAAATATACTTTATATCAAGGCCTAAGAATCTAAGTTAACCTACATTTAATGTATTATAAATTATAAATAAATTTTCTACCTACTACTAAAATGAAAAATATTTTTATTGAAATAAATTCGCCCTCCACACCCCCCAACCAGTATACATCTGCAAATATACATCAAATATAAATAACATGTGACAATATAAGGTTTTATTAAAATATTGTATTTTTTAAAAAAAAATTTTTTTTACTTATAAAATTAAACGTTTATTTTCTTTAGGCTATACCACCAAAATATCATCAGAATTAATACTATTTGATTCATCTCTTTCAATATTTATAATTGCTAAAGACGAAAAACGATCATGGCTCTTGGTGGAGCTTATATAAGTATTAATTCTGTGCATGGTTGAAAAAGACCGTTCACAAGACGGTGAAGAAATTGGTATACTTAAATCCAAGTTAAGTAGTTTGTAGAGATTGGGAAATGTTTTAACTTAAATGCATTTTTGATATGAACTTATTTGATTTTTAGTTTCTGAACCCTCGTCTTTTCCCAGGCAGTTTTTAGCTACAATCATTTTCCCTTAACGACATAATATCAACAGATGATTGATGAAAACAACGCACTATTGTATTATATTATAATTTATAACTTAAAAGAAATATAATGGATAAAGTGGCATGGAACATAAACAATTGATTTTATCAATATTTAAATATCATAAGAATGATTGATTTGAATGTTTTTTAAATTTAGATGGCCCAAAGTTTTTTTTTTGGGGGGGGGGTCATTATTTAAACTGGTGGTGGGGACTACGCCTCTCCCCCAGCTCCCCTAACTATGTCTATAAATAAATGTTCATATAAAAAATAAAAATAGGTAGGTAAACTGTTACATTTACATAATATTACACAATACTAGAATTGAAATATAATTTTAATATTTAATATATTATACAATTTATCACTTAAAAAGAATCTTTCTTTCGTCACCAAGAAATGATGTAATTGAATGAAATCTAAATTTTTTTTTAACAAAATTCTATATTACGCTGTCTGTTACAATTAATGAACAATAAGCTTAAGTGATAAAAATAAAACAAAACAGACAGAAGAGACCACCTATCGGAGGAACTTCAGCATGAATATAAATTTAAGATTTTAATCCTAAATAATAATAATAATAATAATAATGGTACTACAATGAGTACATAGTAGTTATAACTTATAAGTAACAGAGATCATAGTAGTAGAGATACATTTTTTTTTTAATATTTTGTAAGCAGGTCACGACACCATTGTCTTTTTAGTCTTGTGGGGATTTCCTGGAATATTTGCAGATGATAGTTGGACGAGAAGGGGATTAGAATGATGTGTTAACTTTTTATTGAATCGTTTATGGTGGAGCTTGGTTAGTTTAGTAACGGTGGGTAAATTGAAGTCAGAATGAAGGGTATTATTTGAAACATAGAAGGGAGCTTTAGAGATGACGCGAAGGACTTTGGATTGGAACCTTTGTATACGGTTTGTATTTGATACTTTGGCTGAGCCCCATATAGCTGTAAACCGTAGGACCAGATGAGTCTGAGTACATTCGTCTTTACACAGCAGTTAGTAGGTAATTTTTAGAAGTTAGGAACGGCCGAAGAAGGCGAAAACGATCGTTAAGTGTTCGAGTTTTATTTTTAATGTGAGCTGACCAGGTAAGTCGACGGTCAATGAGCGTACACATTGCCAGTAGGAAGGGGTTGGTTGTTAAGGAGGAGGGTCTGGCATACTCCTTGCCGGAGCGTAAATGTACAATGGATCGATTTAAATTCGTTCATTTTAACTCCCCATTCCTTGTACCAGGCTTGGAGAAGGTGTAAGGTGGTCTTGAACGTGGCTGGAGGCTAGATGAGGGTCAGAACTAGTTCTGCCTCTAGAGGCTAGGATAGCTTTATCGTCGACAAAGTCACCAACAAGAGTATGAATAGAAGAAGGTTAATCAGATATATATATGTTAAATAGGAGGGGAGCTGTGACTGCACCTTGTGGTACGCCTGCATTAATTAAAGCGGGAACAGAAAAGGTGGAGCCTACTTGCACTGTGAAGAGCCGGTCTTCTAAATAGGATTTAAGGATTAAATAGTAATGACTATAGGGAGAAGAATCTTAAGTTTATATAAAAGACCAGCATGCCACACGCGGTCGAAGGCCTGGGACTTGGGAGACATCTAGGAACGCACCAGTACAATAGAGTTTCTCTAGAGCATAGAAGATTTTGTCTACCAACTTGTGGACTTGGTGAATGGTGGAGTGGCTATTGCGAAAGCCAAATTGCGAGTTAGGTAAAAATTTTGCAGTGTCGATACTCATTACTCGACAATAGGTAGAATACGTTTTAATAGCAGTTTTTCGTATAACTTGAAAAGTATTGGAAGAAGACTGATTGGTCTGTACGAAGTCGGGGAGTCCAGGGTTTTTTTGGGGTTTAATTTGAGAATTATAGAAGAATATTTCCAGAGAATAGGGAAATAAGATATTCTGAGCATTGCATTGTAGATTTGTGTTAGGAATAAGATAGATTTTTAGGAAGGTTTCTGATAAAATCTAAATTTGAATTCTTAAACTTTAATTCAGATTAGGTAATACGTATTATTTACTACAATGATTTTATTATTTTAAGTTTATGGTTTTTATAAAATAAAACATATATTTTATTTCATTTTTATAAAAGTATTAACATTTCTTTTAATTTTAAATTTATTTATAATTTAAGTTTTTGACGTGTTTGTAAGATGTGATAGATGATTACTATAGGTTTTTTTAGTAAATATCTATAAGTTATAACATTAAATAATAATTATAATTATAACATTAACAATTAACACTAAATTGATTTTACTGCGTAACACGCCTGGTGTGCAATTGCACCGTAGCACAGTGGCCCGGTCCGCCCCCGATGTTGAGGCTATTATATTTATATAGGTATTTATAAATTATAATTATATTACCAAATGCCAAATGGTAGTTAAAGTGAACAACATTTTTAATATAATTGGTCATGAGTCATGACTTCGACTTTTTTATACTATACATTTATACCTATATACTTTATGCATTTGATATGACGTAAATGTATATAATAATATAAATTGTCCGGGTCATACAATCTAAGTTTTACCCGACCGTATACAATTAATGTTTTCGTATTTTTAATGCTGGACAGTACAAAGTGACCTACAACCGTTTAAAAACGTAATCATAGTAATATAATCGTCCCGTCACGTAAATTTATATAAACAAGTTAATTAATTATACACTAATGCTGCAGAAGGTATTATTGGTTAAGACGTTTAATATAGTCACTGCGCTGTGCACAAGTATTTTTCGTATTTATTATTATTATTTATT